GAGACGTCTCATGTCTTTTTTTCTCAGTACATCTTCAAAACACAGTGTACACTTTACATTTAAAGCACATGTCAACTTGGAACCTAAAATTCCTCCAGAAATAGTCATCCGTGGAAAAAAGGAAACTCATGTAATCCAAGTTGTTCAAAACATTTTTTAAAGTTTTCGAATGATGGAGCTGAGCATCAGTCTTTAAACCGAAGTGAACTGAATGAAGTGGAATGGAATGTTCAGTTCTTCATTTACTGCTGGCTCCCGCGTTGGGCAGCACAGCACCTCTGCGTTAGCAGGATGATCTCCCCCATTCCGAGCTTCATGCTGCTCTGTTGCCTGACCTGTTGGTCTATGATGACAATGGCCCAACCCCTGCACTGATAGACAAGAGGCAGCAGCTAATTTTCTGTCTGTAACAGCAGAATGTTGGAAGCCATGCACTGTAGTGCTCGAAAGAGTAGCTTTTAGAGCTGGACGGCCCAGGTTCAGATCTGGCCTCTCTAATCGATCGGCTCATGGGGTAGTTGTGAGGATTCAAACCAGTCCTACATGTAAAGCACACAGATAACGGTTGTCATCTAGGGGGCAGACAGCACGTGCTCAAGTGATGTTGCCTTTCACTCTCTATGTTGTCTAATTATGATCAAAGAAGGTAAGGGTTGGAAGAGGTCAAAAGCTCATTAATCTGTTGTTATGCAAGTGAGAAAACTGGTCCAGAGAAGGCCAAGGTCTCATCCAAGGTCACACAGCAAGTTAAACACCTGCTAATGCTCTATCCAGCAGTCCCTCCACTGGGTCAGCAATGTGATGTTTTCAGAAGTACCTTGAACCCTCCAGCCACATGACATCTTTATTTTCTCCCTAGTGTTGAGGGTGACTTTGGCCAACAGGGCCATGTTGTCTGCCAGGCCCTCTCCGTAGCTCAGGTGAGCAGAATGGTGGGGTAGTTGGGAAAACTCACTGAGTGAGTCCTGCAGCCCAGCCACCCTTCCCAGGGGTTGTGCATTTATCTGGAGGCCTTTAACGTTCACTTTAATGTAGAATATTTGGAATAACACAAAGCAGAAGGGAAACAGGAGGAGACTTGCCTATCAGAGACATGTCGTATTGTTCCTACGATCTTCTTGAAGTAGAGGTTGAGGTTATTTATGTTCTTTTAGCTCCTCTTCTGGGTGAGGCATTGTATCAGGGACCAGGTACACAGCGGTGAACAGAGCAAATGCAATAGCCTGCCCGTGTGACACTCGGAACCTGGTGGGACTGATGGCTACTCAGCAGCCGTGATCAGAAGGACTGTGTGATTGCACACGGCTGGGCCCACAAAGGAAACTCCAGGGCACAGTGAGGGGCTTGCACTTGACCTCTCCCTGGGTCCTTGAAGTGGTGGACGGCAGGGGCTGGATGGGAGAGCACAGACCCTCTATATAACTCCGCATTTTGCTCCTACCACTTGCCATTGTGTTGGTCACTGCCTCCTCCTACATCCTGCAAAACTCATTGTAAAGAAAAAAACTTTTTTGGCAAATACTTCTGCTATGCTGCCTTTTCTTAATCAGTGCCTCAATCACTTTGAGGTGATTCAGCTGCCTCCAGTTTGGGGGTTTTGCTTCTTTTTCTTTTCTTGTTGGGGTTTTTGTTTGTTTTCTATCAGAAGCGGAAGCTTTTTGTCTCTAACAGCTCTGCACCGCAGAGCACTCTGGAGGGCCTCGGTGGAGCGGCTTATTCAGTCCTCATGACAGGCCGGCAACATGGGCACATCTTGTTCCCATTGTAGAGAGGAGAAACCCGAGGCTCAGAGAGGTTAATGATTTGTCTGAGCCATGCAGTTCGAAAGGCTGGGCCTGGGCCAGGCCAAAGCCAAGAGCCAGGAACTCCATCCAGATCTCCCACGTGAGTGCCAGGGGCCGAAGTACCTGGGCCATTGTCCACTGCTTTCCCAGGCCATTGGCAGACAGCTGGATCAGAAGCAGCCAGGACTCAAATAGGACTCTTGGCAGGAGATGCCAGCATCAGAGTTGGCAGCTTAACCTGCTGCACCACCACGCCGGCCCCCAGGATGTGTTCTTTCAAGGGCCCAGAGGACCCTTAACAACAACTTTTGGTGTAAAGACTGCTGACATTTGTGCTTGCAAACACTTTTCCACTAATTTTTTTTTTTTTGAGTGTGCCACACTTCCCACACTGGTTCTTCTTGTAGATTCCTCCTGCAGAGTTCTGTAGTCCACGGCATTTCATCATCTGTCATCCACTCAGCTGTGTTCCCACGCATTTCTCAGCACGTGTGATGGAGCCACGGGGCAGCAGGTGCACCCACTTGTAGCCGGCATATACCCATCACCTGCAGCTGAGGCCGATGTTCTGGTGAACCTTGAGGGGGCCAATGCTCAGAGTCTCCCTGGCTGTGCTTCCCTGCAGTCTTCCCTGGGGGCCTGTCCCATGTTGGGGCTTCCGTGTGAAACTGGCCTGAAAAGGCCACCTGCCTCCTTCCTGTGCTGTGCGGAGCTCTCTCAGCCTCTCTGTTCACCTCTGCTGAAACTGCTCCTGTCCATTCCTTCCCCATCTTGCTCCATGGCCTTCCAGAATTTGGGGCCCAACTCAATATGACAATGGGGAGTACACAGATAATTCCAGGTGGCAACTGACCTGAGTGTAACGGTGAGTCACACGGCAATAAAAGTTTAAATAATTATTCTATTTCAATGTTCTGTCATTCTTTCTGATAGAAGCAGCCCCTTTTTTATTTTTTTAACTTTTATTTAATGAATATAAATTTCCA